TTAATTACAAAATTGATCATTAATATATCATATATTATCTTTATTATATTGAACTCAAATTTTTTAATATAATCGATAAATCAACAACCTCTATAAATTGCATGCTATGAGTAAATAGTACAACTAATTAATTACAAGTAAGCAGTAAATAATTATAATATAGAAATGGTCAATAGTGATAGAAAATAATATATATTAAAAATATAACTAGATATATATACAGGTTAATACATAAGCATAATGCTTTATCACATAGTTCAAATAAATTTTTATGTTACACAATCCTATAACTTACAAATCTCTTTAAAATGATATATAGCGATAGTAAATTTCAGTCATCTAAAACATCATTTTTGATCTATCTAAATTAAATATAAATATATTATTATTTTAAGTTCTTTGATTGCAATAAATATGTATCAATAATGACACTTTGGATGACCAAAATTTACTATATGTTTAACTATTATGTATAAGAATTAAGTTAGTGATGCTGATAATATTAATAAATCTTAGCAATAATATTGTATATATATTGTATCTTTAAAAATTGTTATTATACTTTATATTTAATGACACAAGTAAATTTTAGTATAAATATAAGTATACTTGCATTATTATACTTTATATTTAAATTTTATATAATAAGTATTTTTGTGTTATTGTATTTTCTTTTAACATAAGTGGTTGACATCGTTAGATATTAATTTGTTTTCTTCTTATATAATAGATTTAAAAAATATAAATACAAGTTTAACTAAAAGATAATGATAAAAGAATTTTTAATACAATGAAAAACCAACCTAAAAATAGTACACTGCAACCACCATACTCTGCTGCACCTATTACTTGTTCCCAATCAAATCTTTCTTAACTATTAAATACTAACAATATCACTAAACCTCATCAACCACTTAACTCTAATGATAATGGTTCATCTTCTGATTTAACCACTAGAAGCATTAAAAGTATTCAACAAACATATTCGAATATAGGCAGATCTTCTTCACAAGTATCTCGACATTAATCATGCCAACCATTCACTACCTGTTCCTTATCTCGCCAGCCTTCCTTTACTCCTCAAAATAAACCTACTTTCTATCTTAAATCTAGATATTATTCTAGATCACACATACTGATTATAATTGATCAATATCTCCAGCTTAATGATCTTCTTCAAGATCATGATTATGAGAAAGATCACCAACATGTGATAGATTATCCAATCAAAATCATACACATAGTCAAAGTAGTACATATATAAAGGCTTTTTTTTTAATATTTGTCATTGATTTTTTTTTTTTGGAAAAATTTTTTTTTATTTATTTTTATTGTATACATTAAGCAAACTACAACCACTCTGATCACTCTGACCGCCCTGGCTGCTCTGACTGCCATGACCACTATGACTGTCATGACCACTATCAGTATTGTCAACAAGTTGATAAGCAAATGTTCATTCAACTTAAGCATTTATATTTAATGCTCAAAAAACTTAAAGAAAGTACAAATAAAATTAAAGTCAGGCTAGGTCATCTGGAAAGGCATCAAGAAAAACAAGAGAATGATCTATCTGCACAAATGATAGATGTAAATGTTTTGAGTTAGCAACAATTTAGATTTAGTGTGTTTAAGCAGTATATAATGTTTAGGATCTAGCATGTTTAAGCAGTATATAGCATCTAGTATATAATACATATATTGTTTTTTAAAAATATATATAGAATGTGTTTATCTGCATAGCCAAGCAACTCTTTTTGTATAACATATATCCTAATCAAAGTGATTTGAAGGATGCACTTAAACAATGCCTTGAAGAAAGGTATTCTGAGTTTATGAATAGTTTAAGTTCTAATCAATATACCAATAGGTTTTATAGTAAATGGTTCAGCCCTGTATGTATCGATATCTATTGTTTTTTAAAATATATTTCTTTTAATTATGACTTATTTACTAATTTTTACAATAGCTTTTGCAAAAAATAAAGAATCTGCAAAGTGCATTGGTTCAAAATGTAAGAGCAGCAGTCTGGCATATGTTTGGTTGTGAAAGACTATCACTATTAAAAAAAATGCTGCACCAGCCAATATAGTAAGTTGGAAGCAAAGTGAAGAAGTTTTAGATTGTTATCATGCACTCTTTGAAATGAACAAGAAAGGTGTCTTTTGGGTATTAATAATTGTGAGAGCAGCCTTTTCTGAGTTGCTGTACCTACACTCTCAAATGAGCATTGTGCTTTTACGCTCGCAGTCTGTGATATTTTACTTAATCCCAAGTCCAGAAGTGTCACATGTTCAGAAAAATGTCTTATACATCGTATCAAAAGATATTTTGTAAGTGCCATTAATTGCATATGCTTTATTAATAGTAATTAATTAATTATTTTTTAATATAGAACAATTTCAGTAATAGTGGTCCATCATATGAAACAGCTAAATCGATACTAGACAATGAGAATCATGGTTCTTCATAACAAGTGTCGCCTCAGTATGAACCTGAAGCAGGTTCTTCATCATTTTAGCAATCATCTCAACATCAAACAGAACTTTCACAGGAGGATGCTGATGATTTATTTGGTTGCAATGATTAAATTTTTGCTTCAAATGTTTTTTTTTGAATTAGTTTACATTTGCTAGCAGTTATTATATAATAAATTATAATAAATTTTATTATTTGTGTTATAATATAATTATACAGTTTTAGTAACAGTAATAAATTTATATTATGTATTGTAATTGGTTTTATAAATAATATGTTTTATAAATATCTTATTAGTGATATCGTCTTTTAAAAAAAGTACTTGATTAAACTGATTATATATCGATTGATAACCTTATTAAATATATATCAATTTTTTAAAGCTGATTATATATCAGTTTATACCAAAATCGATATAATCCAGTAGAGGTGATTAGTATCAATATATATCTATCGGGTTACCAATCGCTATATATTCCTATATAAAATTTCCTGATATAAATTTGTTTTTATTCTGGGTTGGTTACATAAAATAAAAGAAAAGAATCATCTTCTTCTAAAATATTCCAAAAAAGATGTGACAGAATATTGCTTTCTATACTACTGTTAGCATTAGTAATAAATTATTTTGTAATAGTTTAAAATAATTTATATAATGTCACTACTATTATTACATCTTATAATTCTTAATAAGAAAACTTTAATAGTAAGAAAAGAACTAAAGCATTCCAAAAAAGATGTAGTAGTATACTTATTTTTATTCTTAGCAATAAATAATACAATAATGATAAATGCAAAGTTTAATTTTAATAAACCAAAAAAGGTGTAGCAGCATATTTATTCTAATAGCATCCTGGTTTTTTTAAAGATTTTATCTAAATATAATATAGAAACTTGTCAAAGAATCTGGAAATTTTTGGAATTGGCTGTTAGAAAAGGTTGTATAACTTTTTTTTTTTTTAAAAAAAAAGAATAATTACACTTGACTCTCACTAATATTAACCTGTTTGGATTATTTTTATATTCTTGCTAATAATAACATCAGGAAAGCTTTTAATAGAGTTGATATCAATTATAATTGTTCGATTTATATTGATTATAATTGATTACAATCAAAAATAACTGATAATTTTTTTATCAATATGAACTTGAATGATTGCAATTGTTGTAATTACTATTAATTGATAATTGCAGAGGTTGCACTTTTTTGCAAACTGTCATAATGAGAAATCATATTAAAGTTAATATATATGAAGAAATTTTAGTATATTTTTAATGTACAGAAATTTATTTTGTTTTTTAGATTGATATTAATAAGGTTGATATTAATGAGAAACAAGTATACAAAAAACTGGTTTTGTTATATATGTCAGTACATAAGTTTTTTAAAAACTCTACACATAATTATAACAGATAAGTGATTTTTTTTAGACTTATTTTTTTTTTCTGTATTCAAAAAAAATCAAACAAATTATCTTTTTTGTATCTAGCATTAGTATAGCATTTAAAATTTTTTCTGTATTTTTATTTGTGTTTAGCAAATATGCAAGTCGACATAACAACAAATTATTAATTAACAATAATTCAACTTATAATCTCATTAAAGCAAATTGTAGTTCTATAACAAAACTGTATTGATTTATATCTGCAAATGCCTCTTTATTTAATATTAATAAAAGTACTATAAAAGGTTATATACAAGATCAGGATCTGTTACATTTTACCAAGTCATTAAGAAAATTTTAAAATTGTTGGCAATTGATTAATAAAAAGAAATATTAATCAATAAGTAGCTTTCTTGCTAATTATTAGTGATACTGATTAGAATTAATTGACAATAAAGCTAATAATTAAAATTAATTAGAATTACTTTGATTGAAAATAATTGATATCAAACCTAAATTAAAATCAACTATATTTTAATCAATTGTGCATCAATTAGCTACCAATATCATTGATTTTTCTAATTAATAAAAATCACCTCTGCAGCCAATAATTGATATTCACCTTATTTAAAAATTTCCTGATACAATTTTAATGATCATAACTAATAAAATTGACTAGCATTAATTATAATTAAAAATTAATTATCAACACTCTAATAATTGTAATCGATTTTCTTGAATGATAGTAGTTAACTCTGCAGCTTGTAATCAATGTTCACCCTATTTAGAGCATTTATATTGTAGCAAGATAAATTTTAAAATGCATACATACTTTGCATTTATAATATACAGTTAGGTTTTAAAAACATTGAAATTTATTTAATAGAAATCCTGTAATTTATATATGGATTAATTCATAACAGATATACTGTCAAAGAGGATCTTGTATATAATCTTTTACAGTATATAATCATTAGTTACTAATATTACATAAATGATATTTTGGAATTGAAAATGCAATTAGCTTTTGAAAATTCAACTTTATGATTCAAGATATCTTAAAATTCAAATGACTGTATAAAAAATACTTTTATTTTATTTTTCAGTTAGAGAGCTTCTACTTATTACATAAATATAGCTCCCTTCCAGAGTCAATTATTTGACAATTACAGGTTTTAAAGTAATCAATTATTTTAACAATTGCAAGCTCTAAAATAACTAATTATATAGGTTTATATTATGATTACTTTAGAACTTGTAATTGTTACTCTAAAGAGGAGCTATATTTACATAATAAGTAGAAGCTTCTTTAAACATACAAGTTACACAAAGAACCAGGCTCATGATGGTCAGACCCAATGTACAGGACAGACTATGGTATCCTTTGCAACTGTAAAAACTGAGTATACAGTAAGTGCATCTATAGAAGGAAAATCTAATTTTTCAGACAACAATTTATCACATCCTTCTGAGAACTCCTTTTCAACAAACTTATATCAAACTACTCCAAAAAATTCTTATATACCAAACATCTTTATCAACATACCACTAAATCTAAACATTATAAATGAGGACAATGAATCATTAACAGATGATCCTAATAATACCATCGACTCACCAACAACAAATACTATCAAAGAAAAATCTTATATCAAAATCCCTGACCTACTCCAATTATACAACCCTTCAACCTGCTTTAACAAATTTCTTGCATTGTATAACTTACAACTTCTACCTTTACCACAATCAATAAGTTCTTTCCTAAAATTTATCCAAAATAAACATCCAAAATAAACATCCAAAATATTATTCAAAGCAATATATAAAAATTTCTATAAGGAAATCTAGCAATAACACATATGAAGCTCACATCTATCTTCTACAGAAAACTAACTTCCTACCCAACTCCACACATATCCCTTTTGAAAATCTTCCAAGCTATCAAAATATTTCACTTAAAACAAACTTCTCCTTAACAAAGTTTAAAATACCATCCCTTCCAGAATGTCAAAACCTTCTCTTTATTACTAACTCTTCTACCTTAAAATTACCTATTATTACAATACAAACAAACAATAATATCTTACTTTTAGATAACTCCAATACAACAAAATTAATCAAAATACATTCACTTAATGTAAACAGTCTTCTAGACAATTTTAAACAATTAAGCCTAATCGATTACATTTCAGAAAATCAAATAGATATCTTTGGAATTTCTGAAATACATCTATCTATTAAAGAAGCAAAATTTTCAACTATTTCATAAAAACTTACAAACTATAAATGTTTTTGGACACCTAGCAATGCTCGTCAGGGTGGTGTGGGTTTATTAATCCACAAATCACTTGTGAAGCATATTGGAAAAATTCAAACTTATAAAAACTTTCTCTTAGAAATCGATATTTTTCTCAAAAATCTCTATATTAAACTAATTCAACTATACTTTCCAACTCAAGAAAAAAGACAACTCTGAAAAGAAATCCTTTTATATCTTACTTCTATTCTTAACAAAACTAACTACAAAATAATTTTAATGAGTGACCTAAATGGAGTTTCTAACCTCAAACTAGATAGACTATTACAAAAAAACTCAAACTACCTGAACATTCTTTCTTAAAACTTCTCAAATCTCTTCAATTTTATGACACCTATAGACTCTTTTTTCCATCAACCCCTACATTCTCTTATACACACAATAACAGTCATAGTAGAATTGATCAAATATGGACTAATGTCCATATTACATTTTTAGACTATGCTGATATCTTACCGAACCCATTCACTCTAACTGATTACTCAATAATATCACTAGAACTCACACTTGACATACCTAAAATTAACACACAATATTATCAAACAAGAACCATTTATCAATAGAAACTTATCCAAAAAGAACAAATTGAAAACTACCAAAACCATACTGAACAAAACCTTAAACAACTTCTTATATCTATCAACAACATTACCTACAGCTCTGAACTCAATAATACATGGAATCAAATTAACAAAGCTCTAACCAAAGTAGCTCAAAAACATATTCTATTCAAAAGAATTAAACTAAATTCATATCATAATGAACAACAACTACCCAACCTCTCACCTTTATACAAACAACTTAAACAAGCAATTCTACTCAAAACAGGTCTAAACAAACCTAACTTTATACAAAATTATAACTCATATATTACTAAATATTCACAAAATATCCTACTACCTCCTCTATATTTAACATTAACAAACAACAACTCCGACCTTACTACTTTTTCAACTCTCTTCACAACTGAAATTAAAACTCTTAAAACCAAAATTCTCAAAGAAAAACAAGAAAACACTCTAAAGGAAATTCAAAACAAACTGGAAGAAAGGAACAACAATTTTTACCAAAATTCTAAAATATTCTTTCGAAATGTTTTAGAAAAATATAACAACAGCATTAATTTAGATTGTCTTTTATCTAACGACATACTCACTACTCAACCAATAGAAATAAAACAAGCTTTACAATCCCACTTTCAAGATTATTTCAAAAAACTACTATATACTTTCATCCAACCAAATATAAAATTTTACAAACTTTACAAACCTCATCCAGAAAATGAACATCTTTTTGAAAATTTATTTTCAGAAATTACCTTAGAGGAATGAAACAAAGCAATACATGATCTTTTAAACCAAAAAGCTGCTGGTCCTTCTGAAACTAACTATGAACATCTAAAATACTTAA